GAGCGGAAAGAACTGGTCGAGGAACTAAAACGCACCGCGGCCGTTACTGAAGAAGTGCCAATCGTCATAGGGGATGAATTTATCAAAGATGGAGAAGTGCAACACCAAGTCATGCCTCACGACCACGGCAAGAAGTTGGCAAAGTTCTACTACGCGAGCGAGAAAACTATTCAAAAAGCTATTCAGGTGTCTGTGAGTGCTCAAAAGAAATGGGACCGTACCCCGTTAGAAGAGCGCGTGCGTATCTGGGAGAAGGCGGCGGAGATGATGGCGGGTGCGCATCGCCAGCGCCTCAACGCCGCCACGATGCTTGGCCAGTCAAAGTCAGTTGTCCAAGCTGAGATAGACTCTGCCGCAGAACTCATTGATTTCTTCAGGTTCAATGTGTTCTTTCTTAAGGAAAATGCAAAATATCAACCAATTTCTGAAAACCCAACAATTACAAGAAACAGTATGAGGTTCAGAGGAATTGATGGGTTCATCGCAGCAATTAGCCCATTTAATTTCACTGCAATTGGAGGTAATTTAGCATATACTCCTGCCCTGATGGGTAATGGCGTCCTGTGGAAACCATCAGATACAGCTCTTCTTTCTAACTGGAGGATATTTAACATAATGAGAGAGGCGGGATTGCCAGCTGGTGTTGTGAACTTTGTGCCTGCTGATGGGCCCACCTTTGGGCGCACTATTACTGCATCACCGGATCTTGCTGGTGTTAATTTTACTGGTTCTGTACCAACTTTCAATTGGCTATGGAATGAAGTTGGAAAAAACTTGAACCGTTACAAAAACTATCCAAGACTGATTGGAGAATGTGGAGGAAAAAACTATCATTTTGTTCACCCAAGTGCAGATGCAAGGTCAGTTGTGACTGCCACCATCCGTTCTTCATTTGAGTACTGTGGACAGAAGTGCTCTGCTTGCTCCAGAATGTACATTCCCAGGTCTCTATATGAACCTATCAAGCAAGGCTTACTTGAGGAGCGATCCAAATTGAAAGTAGGAGATCCAAATGATTTCTCCATATTTACTGGTGCTGTAATTGACAACAAGGCTTTTGCCAGAATTACTGGTTACATCAAAGGTGCAAAGAACAATGCAAAAAATAAAATTTTGGGAGGTGGGGAGTATGATGATAGCAAAGGCTACTTTGTCCAGCCTACTATTATTGAGACGGTGGATCCTCATGACAAGCTGATGACAGAAGAAATCTTTGGGCCTGTCCTAACAATGTATGTGTATGAAGACCGTGATGTTATGAAAGCTCTTGCTTTAGTGGGCTCATCCACTAAATTTGCTCTAACAGGAGCGGTGTTTGCGAATGATAAGGCCTTCCAGCAGACAGCATTGGAGGAATTGAAGACCACAGCTGGCAATTTCTACATCAATGACAAATCGACCGGCTCTGTGGTTGGACAACAACCATTCGGTGGTGGGCGGATGTCTGGAACAAATGATAAGGCAGGAGGACCCAACTATGTCATGCGCTGGACTTCACCACAGTCTATCAAGGAAACATTTGTCCCTCTCAGGGAGATTGACTACCCTTACATGAGAGATTAGGCATTCAGTTGCTTATATTTATGCTCACCATTATGTACTAAGCTACTTGGAGTACAATAATAAACCTTAGTTTAAGCATCAAACAATAATAGCTATAGAAGTATTGTAGTAAGCAAAATATATCAACTAACCTCTGATACTAGTGCTGTTGTTAAACTTCATATTCATAATCTGATATTTGAACTAATGCATTAGGTAATATGTGTAGTAGACAAAAATGTGTTAATACAATTACATATAATTAGATTTAATTGAGTTACCTTGTGATATAGAATGATGGATGTCAGTTTGTGTGATGTAATTGCTCTCCTTTATGCAGCAGCCCGGTGGGCGGCAGAAGGCGTCGCACACGCGCCGCCAAGCCACAACTGACTTTATCAAATGTTATTTGCGTTGCCCCAGCTTATCATTCAAATGCTCCCTACTCACAGCTTATATCTTATCAGTCCGCTCTCTGAGACAACTGCATTTAAACATTTTTCTATATTTATTTTAAATATTAACTTGTTAGTGATTTCTGTTGTAAATTTTATGCTTGTTTTAAATGTTTAAGTTTATGGAGCACTTGCTCAATTCTCAAACAACAATAATGTTGCTTTATATACATTTTTTATTAGTCATCGCTTTAGACAATTGTTGAATCCTTAATAATTATGAAAAATCAATAAATAATGATATTGTTTCATTGGTCTTTGATTTAAAAATGTGCATAAAATTTTATGCGAGACGAGATTACGATTTAATTATCTTCCTGTGGGAAATACTGTGGCATAAAGAGAAGATAACTTTTCACGGGGAGCGGTGCGCCGCGCCGCATGCCATACGAAAGTCTAGAATGGGTTTGGGCTAGTTGTCAACGACTTTTTACTTTAGAGGATATATATTTAAGTACAAAAAACATCTAAATAAGTTGTTTAACTTAGATCTGTAATACAATAAATTGTAAGTGCTAAATAAAAAACCTGTTTTTACAACTTTGTTTTGTAAAAAAATGATTTCGTCACGTGTTCATACATCCTAGTGGATTGAGTCTGTTAACAATAGAGCAGACAGGAGTACCAAACAATACATTTTCAGTGCATTTTAGGAATACAAGCGTAAGTTTTATAATCTTTTTGCAATACAAGCGTAAGTTTTATAAATCTAATTAGCCTTCTTTGTTGATCAATAGCATCGGTCTAACGCGGAAACATAAGCGAAAAATAATTAGCGAGACAAAAATTAACGCTTATAAAGTTTTCATATGAACGCGATTAGCGCATTTCCGTGCATCTCAAATGGTGCAAGCACGGATTCAATCATTTTAATATTATAAATGCCGAAGTTTATATGGATGCATGAATGTTTATTACTGCAGATTTTGTGAAAAACTCATCAGATCTCGCTGAAATTTGGTATAGAATGTAGTCTGGAAGTACCATAGGCTCCATATAAAGTCGTTTTTTTAACCGACTTCAGAAAAGAAGGAGGTACAATTAGTCTGTACATATATATATTTTTATGTGTGTTATTACTTCGCACGAATGGGGTGCGAGCGACAGCTAGTCTCAAATAAAGAAACGAGCATAGATGGAACCTTGTCATATCATAGCAACATACCCGTCAGCACGTCCACAGTAAGAATAAGAATTCTTTATTTCACCCATATAAAAACATAATTGAGGTTCCGTACCGTAGTTCCCATTTTAGGTGAATTATTTAAAATTTTTAAAAATGAAATTTCCTAAAAATATAAAATGACTTTCTTCAACTTTGACAAAATGTAGAGAGAAATAAATTGAAATAGTTATGATGGACAAGCGACAGTTGAGAACATACTATAGAATTGCCCTTAACAGTTTTTATTTATTTTTGACCGACTTCCCAAAAGGAGGAACTCAATTCGTCTGTATGTTTTTTTTATATTTACAAAACGTATGTACGCATGAAAACATGACTCCGTGATGATATTTTGGGCGCAATTTATATAAAAACGTCAGTACAAATACAATACATGTTGAAAACAATTCTTCTCTGTGCCGTTCTCACTCTGTTATTATCATGGAGGTAAGAATACAACAGGAGTGTACTTTAACTGTTCATCTTGCAGTTAAAATAAAGAAAATAAAACCTTATGACAAAGGTATAAGAGTCTTGTTGCACCCCAAATGAAATTGAGACCGAGTGAGAGCTACAAGTGTCCGACATTTTCCTTTCTAACAGTGACCTAGAGTTGCCAGATATCAATCCTTTCGTTGTTTGTAGAAAAATAGGCAATTGATATAATGTAATACAGAAAAAATATTTACTTTTAAAATGTTTCTAAATATTAATAATAATTTATCACCGACATGTTGAAGCAATATTATTTGTTGCTACGTTAAAACCTTATTAATACAAAAATTTTGCAATTGTCGTAGGTTTTCTTTGCTTTGTTTGAAATTCGGACACCTGAACTGACAACCCCATATAACATCCTGACTCGGACGTTATGGCGGAGTCTTTTTTGATTTTGTGATATTTTTGAAGAATTATGAGTTTAAATGGGAAAAAGTTGTGTCGTGGATGCTTGCCAAAGCAAGTGTTTTGCTGATTGCGTGTTTTATTTTCACAGGTAATCGTATTAAACATAATTTGTTGGTGAAGAATTACGGTGACCATGCATGATTATCCTATAAGAGTTCAAGAACAAATAACTTAAACACTTATGCATTTATTTCTTGCTTTCTCTATAAAAATAACTTTGGTTAAATTTTAGATTTAAGACTATAAGGATTGAGCAAAATTTACTTCATAAACTTCACAAGACTTATATTTAGCAATGTCTGATTTAAAAATATGTATTTTATATCGTTTTTAAAAACACATTAATGCTAACACTAGTACGTTAAAATCTATCTTAAGTAATAATTAGCTGACGTAGACAACGAAAACAAATTTTTTATAATATATGTCCTTAAATCATATTTTAACTTAGTCACCATCGCCAGAGAGGGATAGAACGGAGAGTTATTGAGGTCTCGCTCGGCGTCAATTTTTTGACAACAGCTCAATCCTGTTCTAGTAGTGCATCTATGGTCATTATCAAATCATTCTGAGCATCGACTTCTATAAATTGACAGACAATTTCATTATAAGGATTTTGTGTCCATTTGATTTCTTCCATTTAGACGCTGCTGGTAGTGGTTGTGAGGATTCCAACAAGTAACAGAGAAAGAAATCAGAAACCTCAACAGACGCGGTAAGTCAGAATCCTGGAAGCAATAAGTAGGTACTAAATACAAGTAGTTGTAGTTGTAGTAGTACTTCCATGGTCACAAAGTCACAACTCACAACGAAGCAAAAGCCAAAGAGGATATAAGAATAAGCAAAAGCCATTTCCAAGTAGCGATCTGTCTATCAGTCCATAGAGGTTGCCATAAACATGACATTGACAGTTGAGTAGACATGACATCTTTCTAGAATGAAGTAGAATTTTTATTTAGGCAACTGTCATTCAGTGTTTGTGTACATAACAATTTAATTTTAAGTATTTTTACTTTCGTAACATACACAATGTCTAACGTTTTTGGTTTAATTGTATCGGGACGACTGGTAAGCATATTTTATCACTTAATGCGGTAATTTCTATAAATTTTTAGCCATACAAAAAGGTTAGAATTAGATATTTGTAAATATTTATATACTTTCTGTATATATTTATAATAAAATGTTTCAGATGGTTAAACACAAGTTTATTTTATTAAATAAAATTGATATTACCTGACAAAAAAATCTTTTGTGAAATCTTCAGGTACAAACAGACTTTGCGCCACTGACAGAGACGACGTTTATCATAACAATCCCGGAGACGGAGTCGATCAACCACGCGGCGGTATTCCTGACGGGCGTGGCGCCACTTCCGGCGGGCACAGCGGGCATGGTCTACTGGAGCTGGCCCGACCCCGCCGCGCCGCCCAGCTGGCAGCTGCTCGGACACATCTCCAACGCTAAGCCCTCGGCTATATTTAAAATATCTAACCTCAAGAAGCTCCATGAGTTATCAGGTGAGAATGAATTGATTGATTTCAATTACTACTTCACAAAATCCTATGGCATACATAGAACAAACTACAGTATTTAAGTGACTAGAGCTTTTTCAATAAAATCCAGCCTTGTGCAGATTGCAGTACAATGTTGCTTTCACACAAAGTATGTTAGATAAATGTACATTTGAAGTTTGAACCAGAGATGCACTTGTGGTCTAAGGGACATATAATATTGTTTCAGCTGAAAACAAAATAGGTGGTGCCTTTGGGCAGCAACAGATCTGCAACTACGCTCAGATTGGAATATCTATTGAACCAGAGTCAAATGTTGAGTTGCTCGCTGCCTCTGTGGTTAGTACTTTTTAATTATTTCTTACACCAATAAATTATTACAGAAAAATTGAAGGTATTGTTTGTACTTATACAGTTTATCAAATTGCAGTATCTATCTTATATTATGAATAAACATATTTTGTACATATGATGTTACCATTACTTATAAAAATTAGTTAAGAGTCAGTCCTACCAAATTCTTGTGAATTGACAAATAGCAAACATGTGATGGAAATATCGGATTTTGTTACTCTATTTGACAATGACATCATTTTTAATCTGAGCCTCTACCAACCAGTGGTGGGAAAGGCCCTTGAGGTAAAGGCCTTGACATGTATTTATTGGCATACAAATGGATATACACTTTATTTTTTAATTATGATGTGTACAAGTTTTTGAAGATTTTTAAATGTATACTTATTTGTGCAGCTGACTGAACCAGTGCTGTGTGGAATTGTATAACAAATCCATGTTTTCAGGCGGTGGAAAGGAATCAGTATGTAACATTTGCGCAGAAGATGTTAGAGAACCTGGTGAACTTTGTGGCGTCGTTCTCTGTGACGCAGGAGCAGATGACGCCGACGCCGGGCGTGTCCTACATCCCGCTGAGCACATTGCACACCTGGTATCAGAACTTCGAGCGCAGACTGCAACAGAACCCTAACTTCTGGAAGAATTAATCTCAGCAGTACAATGGACCTTTTATTAGTGGACGATTTCGTGTATTTGTTTTTAATTTAGAGTGGACATCATAAATAAAGTGAAAGACACGTTTTGGCGGACACTCGGGTGTGCCCATCATACTCATGCAGATGAGCAAAATTTACTGTGTTTTGTGTCATTAGAACTTTTAATAATTTACTTTAAGTTATAAAGTGGTAAATATATAGTTAAATATGCCGGCGTGTGGCAGGATTGGTGGAAGACATTATGGCTGTTTTTAAATAATAAATACAAAGTAACTATCTAACTCGCTTGTTACATAAAATATACAGAGAATTTGACATCCAGTGGCTATTTATTACATTTAGTATGTATGTGTATGAAGCCAGTAGTAGTATGTATATAGCGAAGCTTGCTGTATGCCATTGTTGGTGATTTATTGTCATGTGTCTATATTCAGTTGAATTTGAAACATTGTTTAACTTTGCCCCAAACCATTAAACAATGTATCATATATTACTAATAATTACAGTTGTCTTGACCGCATATGGCAGTTTCCAATGGCAGTGGAGACATGAGCACAATCTTGCCCTCCCCCTCCCCGCTCCCCGCAGCCGCAGCCGGCCCGCGGCAAGCTGACGTCATAAATATATTCTCCAAGACTGCTAACGAATATTTTTACAATAAAATATTTTTTTTTATGTTTTTTTTTAATGCCATTCCTTGTCTCTTATGTCCCTTTTATTCATATTTGGCAGCCACATTATGTGTAGGGTAAGACCCAAACTACGGTGAATTCTAGACCTTACTAAATCAATTTTTGAATGAATTTTAATAATAGTCTGAGATTCACCAGCAGTTACTTGATAAATCTTTGTGTTATTAGGAAATAAAAACATAAAATACGTAATATATAATAATCTTAATTTATTTGATCACAGAAGTTTAACAACGAGGTAACACAACACCACACAATGAACACAATACT